TGCACGTTCGCCCCCCCCCCCCCCTCCACCCTCCCCCCCACCCCCCCCACATGCACGCTGCAGGGCCACGCGGTGCTCATCCCACTGGACGGCTGCAGCATCAACCCCGCCCGCTCCTTTGGCCCCGCCCTTGTAGCCAACAAGTGGACCGACTACTGGTGGGTACTGCCTGTACTGCCCGTGCTGCCTGTAGTGCTGGCACCAGCACCTGCTGCCACAGCTCCGCCAGCCCGTGCCGGCACCCACGGCTGTGCATGGTTTCCGGGCTCGCTGACCGCGCCGGCCGCCGTCCCGCCGCCGCCCCCGACGCAGGGTCTTTGTCGTGGGCCCCCTGGCCGGCGCCGTGCTGTCTGTGCCCTTCTTCTACCTGGTGTCGCAGCCGTGGGAGGCCAAGCGCGACGCCAAGGGCCAGGTGGTACTGGAGGAGACGGAGGGCATGAAGATCACTTCCGAGGTTTAACCTTGGACCACCTTGTGCAAGGGAGCTGCCGCCGCAAGCCCATGTGCCATGTGTGTGGCATGCTCCCACGCTTCCACGCCCACGCCACGCCGCCGCGGGCCACCCGCACGCCGCCAGCCGCGCCGCAAGGCGCCTCAGCCGCCGCTAGCAAACAAACCCAACGCCGCCGCGCCCGGCGCGTCCCGAAAAATGCAGCACTGCGTTCAGCCCGCCCGCCCGCCCTCGTGCCGGCAACCCACCCACCCACCAGCCAGCCCGGTCCTCCCTGTGCCATCACCTTTTAGGAGCAGCATCGCACCAGGTCCCCCTCCCAGACAGCTCCCAAGGTAAACTACCCCTAATTGCCTAGGTGTACTTTCCTCCCGCTCTGAGAGCTGCACTGCGCCTCTTGGGCGATACAGCGAGCGCACCCGGCACCAGTCCACAGCCACATGGGTGCCGAGCCCGTTTACCACTGCACTCCTAATTCTTCCCCCATTCTCGAGCAGACAGCTCCATGTTTTCACGCAAATGAGATACCAGCAGTGCGCAGCATGAGCGGCGCATGCTATCGTGCCCCTTTGCATTCTGCTCTCTCAATTTTGCACTTACTTGAAGCGGCCCGTTTCTGCGGCCCGTCTCCCATACCAGATAGCCCGTCTTTTTCTGGCCATCAATACTGACCTTTCATCCCTGGGCTCCTGGAGCAGCAGTTAGCGCCCCTGCCATTTTCTGCCGCTAGGCCCCGGTAGAGTACCGAGAGCCCCCCACCACCACCCGCTCTCCCCGTTTTACCTCTGATCGCTGCCTACCAACCTCGCAGTAAGACCCCGACATGTTGCATGCTGAGCTTCTCCTATTATCTTTCTTCTTCATTGTCCTTCCTGACCCCCTCGCGGCATGCTGTGTGCGCGCGTGCGGCGCCCCTTGTGACACGCCGATAGCGAACCAAGAGCCAGGAATCACGGTGAAGAGGGAAGGGCAAAAAGAGGGAAGGGCAAAGAGGCAGGCACGCCTGAAGACAACAGGGGGAATCAGCAGCGGACAAGGGAAAACGAGTGCTGGCTGAGGGAGCTACTGCTGCCCTTCGTCTGCCTGCTCCTGCTGCTGCGCCACCTGCCGCGAGATGGGCCGCCAGCACGCCGACCGCCCCACGCGCTGCCCCTCGGCCACGCCACGCTTGCTGGCGTCGCGTCTGGTGACCACGACTCCCTGCTGCCGCAGCTCCTCCTCCTCCTCTTCGTCCTGGGCGCACTCCGCCTCATGCAGGAGGCCGGTGGCCTCCAGGTATACATCAAACACGTCCGTCAGCTCTGCACGGCGGCAAAACGCGGCAGCAGCACAGGGCAGGGTGTGCGCACATGAGAGCAGCAAGCCGCCGTGCTCCTCGACAGCACGCGGCCAAAGCAGGGGGACGGCGGCACCAGCCAGCAGGAGCGGCAGCAGCCCGCCCTCTGCTTGCCGCTGTTTGTGCCTGGTGAGGCTGCCCGCGTCGTCTGCACAGCTAACACCCAGCCAGCTCACCGAGCAGGTGCAGGCCGTGCACGGCTCCCCAGGTGATGCCCACCGTGTCCACCAGGCAGCTGGAGGCATCCATTGTGTAAGTGAAGGTGGCCTGCACAGTCATGCACTCGCCCCTGCGGCAGGCGCAGTCGCAGCACAGGGCGGCACAGCATCGCAGCCAGCAGCACAGCAGGGACAGCAGCAAAGGAGCCAGCAGCGGAGCAGGCTGTGGCGGGGCAGCCAAGGCCCGACGCCAGGCTGTCAGCCCGCCACCACAGCAGCAGCGGCAGGCAGCAGCGGAAGTGGGCAGCGCGGCGGCAGCTCACCCCAGCCAGCCTGTGCCCTCCTCGTCTGCCTCCTGGTTGAGCGTTGCGTTGGAGTTGCGCCCGCGGGTGCGGCCCATGTGTGGCAGCTGCAGGCAGCCAGGCAGACGGGCAGGCACAGGCCCAGATCAGTCTTCAGCCAGGCTCTGGGTGGAGGGCACAGCGGGCCGGCTCTCCCCCTCCTGCCATCTCCCAGCTGCCGTCACAACGGTGCCAGCAGGCAGCCACAATGGGCGGGCTGCCTGGCACGCACCAACGCTGCCTGCTGCTGCCGCCGTCCGAGCCCCACCTGCGCCATGGCCTTGTCGAAGTTGGCACCCAGCACCTGGCGCAGCTCGCGGCCTGCCTCCTGCCGTCGCCTCTGCCGCTCCCAGTCGAACACAAAGGGGAACAGCTCCTCCTCCTCCTCCTCCACGCTCTCCTGCTCAGGCTCCTGCTGCGGCTGCGCCTGCTGTTGGTCTCGCCGCTGCGCACTGCCTGTGCTGCCGCTGGCGTCAGGCGCAGGGCCCTCTGCAGCTCCCGCCGAGCCTGCTGCTGCGCCCGCACCTGCGTCCCGTCGCCGCTTCGTCTTGCTGCTGGCACGGGCCACCCCGCTGCCGCTGCCGCTGCTGCCGCTGCCGCGCCGGCTCGCTTCCTGCGCCTGCTGCTGCTGCTGCAGGGGCTGCTGCTGCGCCTGCTGCTGTAGGGGCTGCTGCTGCTGCGCCTGCTGCTGCCCCTCGCGTCCCCAGTCCTCCGCCAGCAGGGCCGCGGGGAGCAGCAGCCGGTACTGCCGCCGCACCTCCTCCTGAAACCGCGCCTCCTCCGCCTCCTCATCCCACTCCTCCCCCAGCTGCTGCTGCTGCTGCGCGCTGGCGCCCTGCGCGCCTGCCCCTGCTCGCGCCCCTCCACCCTCCTCCTCCTCCTCCTCCTCTTCCTCCTCCTCAGCAGCAGCAGCAGCAGGCGGGTGGCGGGGGTAGACGTCAAACTGCTGGCGCCCCAGCTGGCGGTGTCGCTTCTCAAAGTCCAGCAGCACCCAGCGGTGCCGCCGCTTCTGGCCGTCGTGGACGTAAGGCTCCGAGTGCACGCCCACCAGCTCTGCTGGCGCCAGGTCAGCAGGGTCTGGGTCCCGCCACGGCGCGCCCCCCGGCTGCCGCGCCTCCTCCTCCATCGCCTCATCTGCCTCCGCAGACGCCTGCATCGAGGCGGCAGCCTGCGCTGCCTCCGCAGCCTCCTGCTCGCGCTGGCGCCGCAGCGCCACGCCCGCCGCCGTCTTCATGACAGACAGCACTGCCTGATCATCCAGGGGTCGACCGGCAGCCTCTGCCGCCGCCTGCGCAGCCTCCAGCAGCATCACCGCCAGCGCGGCATCCTGCTCCTCGATTCGCCGCCGCTCCTCCACGGCCGCCGCCTCGGCGGCCTCCAGCGAGGCGGCGGCACCCAGGGCCAGCGGCCCCGGGGCGGCGCCCACTGAGCTGGCGGCCGCTGAGCTGGCGCCCTGGTTGAGGGCCACCCAGCCGTAGAACCAGGGAGGGTAGGGCAGGTCCAGGAAGCAGTCGATCGTCACCTTCCACTCCATCTGCGGGCTGCAGCAGCCAAGCGGGGTGGTCGGGCGGGCGCCCGGCAAGCACACGGGGAGCGTCAGGACAGGCGAACAAGCTGTGTGGATTCGGGCAGCGCACCAAGGAGGAGCTCGGGTCAGGTGTGCGCCACCCTGTGCTGCCACCCCCGGCTGCCGCTCTGACCTGTAGTTGCCGCAGCGAAGCATGAGGGTCGAGAGATCCAGCTTGGCGCCGGCCAGGCGCAGCTGCGGCCAGGCGGGGAGGGCCAGCAGCGCAGCCGGCTAGGATCCCCGCTATGCTGCACGCAAACCGCCCAGCCGAGCGCGGCACGGCATCCAACCCAGTGCCCACTCCTTACCCGCTTCATATAGTTGAGGGCCCTGTCGAGGCTCTGGCACTGGATGAATGGATCCTGGAGAAGCAGCTGCTCGCTGCAGGGCAGGTGTGGTGAAGGTACAGGCACGTAGTCATGGGCAGAGAGTAGCGTCAAGCACAGCAGAGGCAGCGCCATGGGCCACACGAGTGCGCCGTACCAGCAAAGCAGGGCAGGGCCGCACCTGACCAGCCCCTTGCTTTGCAGCGCCAGCAGGGGTGCGTCGGGATCTGTGCTGTCCATGTGTGCCCTGCAGAGGTTGGGTAGGCAGCAGAGGAATGGGCGACCGCCGGGCTTGCAGCAGGAGCACCAGCAGGCGCGCCTGTTGACCCTCAACAACAGCAGCGCATCACAGGGACGGCAGCAGGCGCAGCAGCAGAGGCGAGAGACGCACCTGCGCAGCACGTATGCGATGCGCTCAGCGGCCTTGAACACGAGGCGCACGTCGGGCGGCAGGGGCGGGGCGGGCACGCTGCGCCGCACTTCTTCCGTCATCACCTCCTGCGCCACCAACCCACCAGCAAATGGGGAACGGAACTGAGCAGAGGGACGCTGAGGGCACACTTGATAGAAGGCAGGCGTGCACCAGGCGGCCCTCGCTGCCTCTCATGCAAGCAGGCTGTGCCCGCTCACCTCCTCAGCCTCGCCGCTCTCCCACATCTTGTCCCACCGCTTGGACTGGGACCAGCCGCGCGCGTAGGCTGCCGCCAGGTCGGGCCTCCCCGCAAACATGCGCCCCGCCCGCCAGGTGGCGAACGTGTCGCTGGTGTGCTGCTCGGCGGCGGCTTCGGCAGCCGCGATCTGCCGCTGCAGCTCCTCGCCGACCTCGCCGCTGCCAGCCTCGCCCTCCTGGGCCTCCGCACCACCGTCGCCACGGCCGCCTCCTGGCGCTGCGGCCTCTCCCTCGGTCTGGCCACCATCCGCCGCCTCCTGCTGCTCCTGCCACTTCTTCTTGCGCTGCTTCTGCTGCTTGGGGTGCTTGCTGCCCTTCAGATCTGCATTCATGTAGTCAATGCTGCCCTGCAGCCGCGCCCGGAACTCGTCCGCAGGCTCGGGCTCGCGCTCCCACTGCACGCGACAACACCCGCAGCTCAACAGGTAGATGAGGAGGACAACCCAACGGGACAGGCATGCACCGCCCTGGGCAAGCCGCACCTCTTGCGCTGGCATCGGCGGCAGCTCCTGGCCCTCCTCGATCATTCGCGCCAGAGCCTCCATGTCGCCGCCTGCACCGCCAGGGAAGGATGCCCATGGTGCGATGCAGGCTGTGGAGGCTGCCGGAACCTTGCAGTGGTGCCAGGTAGGCATCTGCAGCCCCGGCCAATGCCACCAGCAACCCTCCCAACACACAGCTGGTACTTTTTTGGCGCACCTCCAAACTCCTCTGACCCTGCCCACTCCTGCTCCCGCTGCACCGCCTCTGCCTGTTCCTGCAGCGCAGCTGCCAGCCCCGACTGCTTAAATTCCTGCTGCAGGTGCGGCGGCAGCGCTGCAAGCCAGTCATCGCTGCCCTGGACGGCGGCAAGGGGCGGCTCCGCCTGCGCTCCCGCGGCAGCCCGCTGCCGCATGGACGGCTGCTGCTGCTGCTGCCCTTGGGGAGCGGCTTCCAGTGGGGTTGGTGCTGCCTGCTGCTTCTGCTGCTGCGCCTGCTGCTGCTGCCGCTGCAAGCCGAGCGCCTCCAGCACGACTCGCTGCTGCGCTGAGGGCAGGCCTTTCAGCGATGCCGCCAGCGATGCCGCCTCCCGCTCCAGGCGCTGCTGCTCGGCACGCAGGTGCGCCGCGCGTTGCAGCAACGCGTCTGCATCCTGCGGGCCGCTTTCCAATGGCTCACTGCTGCTGCTGGCTGCCCTGGCCGGCTGTTGGGGCTGGCGGCTCCTCGAGCAGAGTGGCAGCGGCACTGGCGGCAGCCGGCGGCGGGCAGCGGCAGATCCAGCGGCTGGCGGTCCGGCGCTGGCCACCGACAGTGCCAACATCTCCCGATTACCCTGCAGTCCTCTGCGGGCCTCTCAGGGCGATCGGAGTGGCTCATGGAGAGGCACCATTGAGCACGCGGCCTGGATTGTCGATGTCTATGACTCTGATCGCATACCAAGCGTTTTGCAATGCCTCAGAAGGGGCGGGTCAGGGCCAAGCCGTACGAGCATGTCCTGCTTTGCTGGGTTGTGGACGATAATCACGCCCGTGCATTTCTTGGCGCTGCGCGGAGTTTTGTGAGCTGTTTGTGAGCCTGCTGCAGTGGCCTCAGTCTCCTTGGCCTGCTTCAGCCCCGCTGCTGTCCAGCCCCAAACTTTCAGCTAGGTCCTTGTTCTCGTTTCCTCTGAAACACAGAACCACAACCCGCCAATAAGACGAGCAGCGGCGCCAGTTTCTGGCACCCTTTGTTCAACTGTATTCTGCTAGGCCTCGGCCTGGGCACTGAGTGCGTGCAGCCCTGGAGAGGTCAAGGTGAGGTTGCTGGGGTTCATCTGGGGAAAGGCCTGCTGTAACAGCAGCAGAACCTCGCGCCCAAGATTGCCAGCTGCTGTTGAGCATTGCAGCTTCTTCCACGACAAGCTTCACGCTCAGGGGCCCACCAGGCTGTCAGGAGAGCGTCAGCCACTGTCGCCCTTCCAGGACGCGGTCCCCCGCTCCAACCCGCCCGCCGCCTGCCGCCGGTCCGCCCCCTGCGGCCCCGTGCAGCAGCGAGCCACGCATCACCATGACAGAGACGGCGCCAAGCAGGCCGCGCGAGCCGGAGCCGGAGTCGCTGTTCACCCGTGTGGTCAAGGTGGGTGCTGGCGCTGGCGCAGCCTGCCCGCGGGCGAAGCAAACGCACCCACCCCATCCACGCACGCATCTGCCGCCGCCCAGCGCCTGGGTGGTTTCGGCAACCTTGCCTGCAACCTCCCGCCTTCCTCCCTTGCCCTCCTGCGCCCAGGCCTACACCTATGTGGCCATCTGGATCGCGCTGAGCGGGGTGGTGATCATGTTCAACAAGTACCTGCTGGCGTACCGCGGCTTCCCCTACCCCATCTCCCTCACCATGTGGCACATGTTCTTCTGCGCCTCCCTGGCCATCCTGCTGGTGCGCACCGGGGTGGTCAGCTCCATCTCCATGGACCGAGAGACGTACATCAAGTGAGCAGAAGCGTGTGGCCGGCGCATGCTTGCGCGGCTGGCAGGGAGGAGGAGTGCGCTGGCGAGGCGGGCGCGGCCAGGATGGGGCTGGCAGCCCCGTTCTGCGGAGGCAGCTGTGAGCATGGGTGCTGTTGGCTGCTGCTGCATGCGCACGCCCGGTGCTGTCCGCTGGCGCCGCGCGCCCGCGCGCCTCATGCTGCCGCCTGGCGCTGCCTGCCCGCCGCAGGGCTATTGTTCCTATCGGTGCCTGCTACTCCATCACGCTGTGGGTGGGCAACGCCGCCTACCTCTACCTCAGCGTCTCCTTCATCCAAATGCTCAAGGTGGGCTGGCGCCTGCCCTCTTCTCGCGCTCGCCGCCACAGCACCGGGCTCCCCAGTCGCCGTGCCTGCTCGCTTCAACACTGCATCGGCCTGCTGCCGCATGACGTGGTGCAGGCGCTGATGCCTGTGGCGGTGTTCACCGTGGGCTGCGGCTTCGGCACCGACAAGTACAGCTGGCCTACAATGATGAACATGATCCTGGTGACGATCGGCGTGGCGGTGGCCTCGTACGGTGCGCAGGGCCTGCGGGGCTGGCTGGCCTCTGGCCTGGCCGGGCTGGCTGGGCTGGGCTGGAGTTGCGCGTGGCGCGGTGCGGGAACTGGCCGTGCTGTTGCTGCCCTGCCAAGACCTTGCGCCTGCCTCCTCTTCCCCCCCCGCCGATGCCCGAGCCGCGGCCCCCATCCTGCCTGTGCACACCGCTGCAACCCGCTGCTCACGTGCCACTCGCTGCGCTTCCGCCCGCCGCCTGCCGCAGGCGAGCTCAACTTCAACATTGTGGGTGTGGCCTTCCAGCTGGCCTCCATCTTCTCGGAGTCGGTTCGCCTGGTGCTGGTCCAGATCCTGCTGCAGGTGAGCGGCAGGGAGGGGTGCTGGGGGTCCGTACCTGTCGCCGGCCGCCGGCTGGGCTGCCTGCTGCCTGCTGCGTGGCTGCGTGTGTCTGCTCCCGCCAATGGGGCTTGAGCAGGCGGGCCTGTGGGTGGCGGGCGCCGCACCTGGCCATGCCCGATGGCGGCTGCCGCTTACCTGCCCGCCCGCCTGCAGTCGCGCGGCCTGAAGCTGAATCCGGTCACCACCCTGTACTACGTCGCCCCCTGCTGCTTCTGCTTCCTGCTGGTGAGCGGCGCCAGTCGGCGGCCAGCCCGCCAGCCGGCAGCAGGCCCCCAGCAGCCCTCAGCTCACCTCGCTCAGCCTACCCCTCCGCTATAGCATGGGCCACCCTCAACCCGCACACGCCACTGCCCTGCTCTTCTCACAATCCTGTTGGCGCCTTCTGATGTCACCGTTGCGTGTGGCTTGATGTGCAGATCCCCTTCACCCTGCTGGAGGCGACCAAGCTGTCTTCCGACCCCAACCTGGACATCAACCCCTTCCTCTTCATCACTAACGCCATGGCCGCCTTTGGTGCGCTGCCGGCCCTGCCGCCGGCCGGGCCTGGCCCGGGCAGGCTGCATCGGCAGCATGGGTCGTCGGCGCTCGGATGCCGGCGTGCACGGCGCGCGTCGTTTCCTGCGCTGTGGTCCCCCGCGCTTAGCCCAACCCATCCATACCGCGCCCCCTGCCGCCCCCTGCCCCTGCTGCCTGCAGGCCTCAACATGGCTGTCTTCCTGCTCATCGGCAAGACGTCTGCGCTGACGATGAACATCGCTGGCGTGGTGAAGGACTGGATGCTGATCGGGCTGAGCGTGTGGATGTTCAAGGCCGCGGTGACAGGCCTCAACCTGTTTGGCTACTTCATCGCCTTCCTGGCCGTCTGCTGGTGGGTTGGCCCTGGCTCGCCGCGTGCGTTTTGGCCAACTGGGGTTGCTCCAGGCAGTCTGTGTGCTGTATGAACATGGCTCCCTTGCCTGTGTTGTTTTTCATTCGCCCGGTCAGTGATCTGCTGTTTACTGAACGCAGGTACAACTACCGCAAGCTGCAGTCCATGAAGGAGGCCGCCAGCCTTGCGCCAGTCAAGGACCAGCAGATGGCGGAAACCGTGCCGCTCAAGGGCGGCGACAAGCCATGAGGCGGCCACAGCAGCAGCAGCAGCAGCCAATCCTGCCAGCCCTTGCCAATCGCCGCCCCGACATTGGATTTGGGCAGGGCAGCCTGACGTTACTTCGCTAGAAAGCTGGCAGGCAATGTGCCCTGCCGACACCCGCACCACCGCTGACCTTGCCCGCTCTATCCCTTCCCTCGCTCCTTTTGCACTCTTCAATCCTGTAAAAAGTTGCCTGACATATAAGCTGCCGCCGCCCCCATGTTGCAAAGCACTTGCGCAGCTGCACTTCATCTGGAGGGCAGGTGGCCTGCAAACAGGAGTCGGTCATGGCGCCAGCTGGACCAGTGGCCAGGAAGGGAGGATGACGTCAATGCACCATCAACCTTTGCCCAATTTCTCTATTAACAAACGAACACGTGCAGTGGCCTCAGACGCTCCGGCTGCTCTGTTGTGCACTCGCCACCTGGTGTTTTTGCAGCGCCCTCATGGCCGAGTCAACGACCGCCCCACGGGAGTATGCCATCTACCTGATGGGCGGATGGGAAAGCGGAGGTGAGGGGAATACTGTCGATCCAGCGGACACTTGACCACAGCCCCGCGCCAGAAATTGCTTAAAAGACATGGCAGCAGGCGCCTGGGGTGGATCTGCTACCAGCGCAGCGGTTTACCTACTCTGCCGCTTCCACCGCCGCCATGTGGTGGCATGGGGCGCCGCCGCCTGGACACCTTTGGCGAAGCCGGCTTCACTGCTGACCTCGTATCGCTGCCTGCAGAAGCTGGAGGAGCTGGTGAAGGAGTATGGCAAGCCGGATGCCAGCATCGGCGGTGCGTTCCGCCGCTTGCTCCTCCGTTGCGAGGCGCACCAGCCCTCACCAGCCCGCCAGCTTGCCCCCTCCTGTTTTCTCACCGTGCCACTTTTCTCACCGTGACCCTTTCTCTCTTGCCGCAGACGCCTCCTTCTCCGTGGCAAAGGAGGCCCTGCACCGCCCCTGCTCCCACACGTGCGGCGAGAGCGGCAACTGCCTGGCGTTTGCCGCCCGCGACAAGTCAGGGCACCTCGAGCCCTACCGCTTCGACCGCCGCCCGGGTGGGGCAGGCAGCTCTCTCTGGGACCAATGTTGGCTGGGGGCGGTAGCATGCATGTGCAGCATTGGCCGGTTGCTGGCCGGCAGCGAAGCAGCCAGCCGCGCTGTGCGCTGCGTGTGCATGCCACCACAGCACCTGCCTACCGAAACCCTGCCACCTGACCTGACCCCACCCGGAATGCACCATTGGCCCCGTGCAGTTGGGCCTGACGACATCCGCATCCAGATCACCCACTGGTGAGCCGGTAGCCTGGAGAGGAAGCTGTGCTTGGGATGCGCTGCATGCGGCCTGCCGATCTGGCCGCGACAGCGCCGCGGCGCCGCCTCGGCCCCAGCCCGCCCGCCTGCGGGGCGCCTGTGCTGCAGCGGCATCTGCCACTCCGACCTGCACCAGATCCGGGGGGAGTGGGGCAACTCCAAATGGCCCATGGTGCCGGGACACGAGATTGTGGGGGTGGTGACCGAGGTCGGCGCCGCCGTGACCGACTTCAAGGTGGGCTGGGCAGCCCTTTGCTCCTTGCTTTAAAGCAAGCCCAGTGGGCTGGTGGCGGCGGGGGACGGGCAATATTGGGAAACCACGGCGCACAAGGCCTTTGGGCACAGCACCGGGGAGTGCTCAGGCCGTCTGCTGCTACTATTGCTGCTCACTGTGCTCCCTCCCTGCTGACCCCCCCCCCCCCCCCACACACACACACACACGCCTGCTGCCCAGGCGGGCGACCATGCCGGCGTCGGCTGCATGGTGGACAGCTGCGGCGAGTGCGAGCAGTGCAAGGAGGGGGATGAGCAGTACTGCCCCAGCTGCATCTTCACCTACAACTCCACAGCCCCCGACGGCACCATCACCCAGGGCGGCTACTCAACCCATGTTGTGGTGAAGAGCAGGTGCGGCGCGGCGGGCGGCGCATGCACAGAGCCGGCAGGGCGCTGCCGCATCGTGTGCTGCCGTCTGTCGTTGCGTGTGCCCTTGCCGCGGTGGCTGGCAGGTACCCGGCAGCCGCCCAGTCCCGCCACGGGTGTTGAGCCTGCGCATCCACCCGCCCTCCCCGGCCCGCATGCGCAGCTTTGCCGTGCGGGTGGCCAAGAGCCTGCCGCTGGACGGGGCGGCGCCGCTGCTGTGCGCCGGCATCACCACCTACTCGCCTTTGAAGTACTTTGGCCTGGTGGGTGGGCTGGGCTGTGACGTGGGGTGTGCTGCGGCTGCGGGATGTGATGCGCCATGGGCCATGCCCCTGCTCCGCCGTGCTCCGCCATGCCGTGCCGTGCCGTGCCGTGCTGATGCTGTACCGCGCGACCCCCCTCCTCCGGGCACCCACGCTGGGGGCCCACCATCTCTTTCCACTGCCGCTGGGGCGGGTGCCCACCATGCTGTCCCACCCGTCTGGCCCCCAGAATGGCGCCTGCCGGCCCTGCCGCCCCGCAGGACAAGCCCGGCATGGCGATTGGCGTGGTGGGCCTGGGCGGCCTGGGCCACATGGTGGTCAAGTGGGCCAAGGCGTTTGGGTGCACAGTCACCGTCATCTCCACCTCCCCCAGCAAGAAGGGCGATGCGCTGGAGCGGCTGGGCGCCCACAAGTTTGTGGTGAGCCGCAGCGAGGAGGAGATGAAGGCGGCGGCGGGCACCCTGCACGGCATCATCGACACGGTGGCGGGTGAGCGAGTGCCTGCCCCGGCTGGCTGGCTCAGGCTGGACGGTTGGATCGCTGGCATGAGGCGGGGCCGCGCGGGGCGCACATGCCCGATTGCGGCTGCAATCACGGTAGCATCGAGTGCCGCCGACCCCATGCTCTCGCTGGTGCGCCCCCACGTGTGCTGCCCGTAGCCAAGCATGAGCTGGCACCCTACCTGCCGCTGCTGAAGACCAACGGCAAGTATGTGATCGTTGGCCTGCCACCCGATCCGTTCCAGATGCACGCCGGCGTGGTGGTGACCCGTGAGTGGCGCTGCCCATGCTGGGGTGGCCCTGCCCGCCAACAAGCCAGCCGGCTGGCGGGCAGACCCTCTCCTCCCACTGGGAGCTGGCAGCTGGGAGCTGGCAGCCAGCCAGCGCTTAGCCCCGCCAGCTGAGCTGCGGCTCGCTTGTGTGGTTCTCTGGCTGTGGTTCTCTGGTCTGATGCGAAGCCTGCCCGCCCGGGTGCTCTGTGCGCATTGCAGGGCGCCTCACTGTGGCTGGCAGCATGATTGGCAGCATCCGCGAGACCCAAGAAATGATGGGTGAGCAGGACTACAACGTTGAGCCATGCGTCCCAGCAGCCTGCACACCCAGCCTGATGCCGCGTCGCCCCTGCTCATCCACCCTGCCACCGGCTCTTCTGTGCCTGTGCTGTGCTGCACGCCTGCCGTCACTCTGCAACATCCCGCATGCCCCCGCCCACCGCACATGTTCGCCCCTCCGCCCCCTATGCGCGCCTCCGCAGATTTTGCGGCTGAGCATGGCATCACGTGCGACATTGAGAAGATCCCCATCGAGTACTGCAACCAGGCCATGGTGGGTGAAACTGCAAGAGCCGGGGAAGCGCTGCGCCTCCGCCTCGCGCTCATGCCCACTGGGTGGCAGCCGCCTGACTCATCCCACCCGTCTTCTGCTGCCTGGGTGCAGGAGCGCATGGAAAAGAATGACGTCCGTTACAGGTTCGTGCTGGATATTGCCGGCTCGCTGATTGCCGGCTGAGCGAGCGAGCGCCTTCTTGCGCAGGTGCGGATCTAGCTAGATCTGCATGCCCAGGCGGGAACCGCTCCGCTAGCAGCGGCGGCAGGCGCCCCAGCAACTGGCTTGCTGCTCCGAGCGCTGCCTCCTTTTGATCATCATCGGCCCTCCCTTCTCACCATCGGCCTGATTGGCAGCTTCCAGCGTCCCATTTATTGAGCCTTCCTGTTTGATTTGTAATTGTTGCCTACTCTCAGCACGGCAGCAGCGGCGGCTGTGTACCGCCGCCTTTGCCTCCCAAAGTCCAGGTGGCACATACGTGAATGCGGACACCAAACCCCCCGTACTTAGCACCGCCATGCGTGATCTGCTGGTTTAATTTCACGGATCAGGCTCCTCAGGCCGCCGGGCATACGCTTTGTCCTGCAGGCAGTCGCAGAACGGGCTTGGAAGAAGCCATTTGCCTCCCCGTGCGACGGGGGTGGTCTGATTTCGCGATGCTCGCCGATTGCTGCAGGCGGCAGCCTTCCCGAAAGGCAGACATGCCGCTCCATGTGTGCCTGCTGGCCCTCCTGTTGCCCTTTTGCGCTCTAGCCGACACAACACCTGCCAGGCTGCCCCTACCGCGCAATGGGGGTGGAAGGAGCCTCCTGCAGACGTTCGGGTGGGTTGCGCGCAAGCTCCTGCCACTACAGTGCCACCGCCGCCACTAATGCCCCCAGCGGCTAGGGTCAGCAGCCGCCCTTCCTGATGCCCCCTTTTTTGCTACACCGCCTGCAGGGTGGGAACCATGACGATTTCGCCCCAGGATGGCACCTTCAACCCTACTCTGGACAACAAACTGGGGGTGCGTTCCTTCTCCAACATGGGATGGTGACGGGACAAAAGTGCCGCCACCACTGGCGCCGACCCTCTGCTCCCTTCCCAAATCGACTGTCCCGCCTCTGCCCTCCGTTCCCCCTGGCAACAGATCACTGCGCAGTGCGACGTGACGGGATCGGGCGGGCAAGCCACCACAGCCTGCTGGCGAGCACAGCTGGCGGAGTGCGGCACCGTCCCCTGCGACACCGGCCGGCTGCCGCCCTACAACGCCACAGGCCCCACAACTTACGCCCCTGGTGAGCCAGCCAGCCAGCCTTCAGCCGCAGCCAGCCAACCCTTGTCATCTGCTGCCAGCACATCGGCCACTGCCTGCTGTCTACCGCTGCCTGCTGCTGCTCGCGGCTGGGGCTGGCGCCTTGCAGCAGTGCCCTGCCCTTGCCTAGTGCCCTGCCCTTGCCTGCGCCTTGCCGTGTGCGAACCCAGCTGCGAACCCCGCGCTGCCCGCCTGCGCTGCTCGGTCGCCTCTGCAGCGTCCGTGGCCTACGGCGGCTCGCCTCCCACATACGTCTCCACCTATCAGTTCACTGTGAACGATGCATGGAAAAATGCCAATACACACTACTGTGAGTCCTGACTGGCTTCGGTAGCAGCTGAGCGGGCAGGTGGCAGCTGTTTGGCATGTTTTCTGTGCCTTTAGGGAACGGGGGGAGGCAGGGACAGCTGCTCTGCGCCTCATGCGGTGCCCAGGAGGCGCGTGGCGGCACCCCCATTTGGCAGCGGTTCCGGTTGCTTGCCTGCCTGCCTGGCACGGCACATCATTCTAAGCAGCAACCGTGGCAGCCAGGCCCGCCATTGTGGGGCCTCCCTGGAACGCAACTCCCCCTTGAACAGCCCGCACCCTCCCTTCTTGCCCTGCCCCAGATCTGCAATGTTATTACGTGTGTGACGGCCCGGCGCAAACACGTGCTGGCAACAGTTTCGTGGTGGTGAGCTGGGCTGCTGGGCGCGAGCTCGCAAGAACGCCGAGGCCTGGCATGGAGCGGTACAGGGTTGCACAGCATACCTGCCGCAAGCACCCCCGCCCACCTCCCCATCTTCTTCATGCGTTGCTGGCGCCTGCCATGCCCCTCTGTGCTTTTGCAGGGTGCTCCTAAGGCACGCTCGCCGCCGCCCCGCCCCCGGCCGCCGCCCCGGCCGCCGAGCCCATCACCTCCACCCCCCGGCATTTGCGCCAACCCTCCCTGTGCATGTGCGCCACCCCGCTGGTCTGGCTTGAGCTGGGCTGGAGCTGTGTGGGTGATGCATACGCAAGCCCCAGCGCTCTGGATCCGTGTCGTCACCCTCTGCCCTGGAATGGCCCCCTTGTTGCAGCCCCGCCGCCCCCAAGCCCCCGGCCGCCGCCCAGGCCGCCGAGCCCACCCAGGTGGATTCATGCACGCCGCCTGCTTGCACAGACCGGCCCTCCTTGGCTTGTTGCGAGTCACCTGTTGTGGAGCATCAATCGCATGAGCCCAGGCATGAATTTTCTTTCTTGTGTCTTCTTTTTTCTTTGCAGGCCGCCGCCGCCCCCCTACTCGTTGGGCTCGGCGCAGACCCTCATTAGCAGCAACTCAACCAGCAACGTCACAGGAGTGATCTACCCCGGCGCCAGCAACAAAGTAGAGGTGTGACAATGTTCCGCCCGCTGCTCGCATGCGCGCGCTGTGCCCAGGCTGCCAAATGCATGTGCAGCAGCCGGCGCGCTCAATCCACCACTCGCCCTGCGAGGGCGAGTAGCCAACCTTGCCGCCGCCCCGCGTGCCCACCCGCAGGTCAAAGCGACGTGCATCATCGAGGGTCAGTACGCTCTGACCGCGGTACAAAACTGGCCCGCCCAGATGCAGCTGTGCGGCCCCAACGGCGGCCAGCCGTGCTCGGGCAACTCTTACGACCCTGGCGCGCCAACCCTAACCCCGTCCAAGGTTACTTACAACAGCACCAACAACCGCTACACCGCCGAGTACACCTTCACCATCGATGACGCGTGGAAGGGGCAGCCCATCACCCACCGCTACTTCCTGTGCCTGTACGAAGACGCGAGCGCCAACGTTGTGCAGAAGTCGGGGGCGTCCATCGATGTGGTGAGGCTGCCTGGGGCGGTATACTCGCGTACTGCATCGGCGATGTCCGCCTGCACTGTCGGCAACCAGGCCTGCCAGGCAGCAGGAATGGGAGGGCTTGTATGTGTCTGCGATTTGACAGGGACACGAAAGCAGAAAGCAAGCAGCAACACAGAAACAGGAGGAGCGGAGCATGGCAGGCCCACACCGCCATGTTGTATCTCCTACCTTGATGCAGTACGCGCCGCC